ATTTTTGATATATGTGAAGGTTTACGACCACCAATACTACCTGAAATGCCTGAAGATTATGCACAAATGATGCAGAGATGTTGGGATATGGATCCATCAAAAAGACCAACTAGTAGAGAGCTTGCTATTTTTGCTATAAATAAGAATAATGAAATCTTTAAAAATAATAATAGTAATAATTCTACTAGCAGCAATGGTAGCAGTGCTTCGCAACAAGCACACAAATCACATACAGATGCATATCATAAAAGTAGGATATTAGATGAAGAGATTGCTAAATCTAAAAGCTTAACAAGTAATGATAGTTTGTTAAATAAACTTGATCTTAACTTTTTTCTGTGAAATGTTAATAAAGGGAATAAAAATTTGTTATCAAACAATTACTATCCATTAATTATTACTAATGGTATCAATTAATTAATTAATAAAAATTAGACTAGTAATAATAGTAAAGAAAGAATTGATGACTAATCTAATCCCTACTATAAATTTATTCATTATAATTATTTATCTTTTTATTTTATCTTATTTTGTTAAATTATAATAATAAACTTTTTACAATTTTTTAATTGGTGATGTTGTATCATCTTGGCCAATTAACAATTATGGCCTAACTTTTGGGCTACTCTTGTTTGTCAGTTAATTGCAAGCAACTCTTAATCATTTGGTGCTTGCCAATTAATTAGTTTACAAGTTCATTGTCTCTTTCTTGCACCTAGACAAATTTGTAAGCACACTTAATGGTACCAGACAACTGCAAATAAATAAAGGTGGCTTTTTTACAAAGCTCTTGAGCTTCATTTTATTCACTTGTGATCAATTATTTCAGTTGTTTATATTTATTGGCTGATTGCAAGCCCCTTGGGTTTTATTTACAAAATAATTTAAGTAACTTAAGTTATTATAATCAAACAACGAAATCCGACACCAGGACTGTAGGAGCAATCAAATCTTGGATCAAGCTCAAGACTAACATCAGGAAAATAAATCTTACATAAACCTACGTAGGGTTCAGAATTGGCCAGCATTATGTCGATATTTTGATAATTCTGTTAACATTTCCGCATGATGCTGGTCAGTTTTAAACCCTGCGTAGGTTTACATGAGATTTATTTTCCTGATGAAAGGAAAAAAATAAAACCACATCTAGCAATAATAATATCAATGAAGTTAGCGATGATGATAGTAGTGATGGGGAAATAAATTATAACAATAATAATAAATAATTTTTTACCCAGTAGAGCCAAAGTATAGGGACATATATTAATGGTCTAGGGGCCATATGTTCTCTCCCTTGCAACTCTGCTGTAAGAAATCAATATTATTTATTCTTTGTATTTTATCGAAATATATTTCGCTTGATTAATCATTAAATCATAATAAAATGAATCATCAAATTCTTATTTTTTAAACATAATATTTTGTTTGTGTATGATCCATAAGATTCCAGAATACTTGTATACTACAGTAATATAAATAAATATTTGATATTTTGAGATAGTTCAACGAATTTTTGATCAAATGCCATCGCCTAAATTTCACAAGCAGATGGAAGTTTAAAGCACATATATTCGGAGATATAAATTAAAGAGTAATAATTTTTGAAGTTACTCCCAAATTTTTCTTCTCAAAAAAAAAAAGGTAGCCAGCTCATGGGCATAACCAAGTCTTTATCAATGCCATTCATTGTCTAAAACAATTACAAGTAGGGAGATTAATCTGTGTATATGGGCTGCCAATATATCAAAAATAAATTCTCAAATTTTCACTATAAAAATAGCACATACCAAAAGTCATCATTTTTCATCATCCAAATACAATTCACTCAACCATCAATCCCTACATGTAATTTGTTCATTATAGAGAGTGAAATGTAGGCGAAGATTAGAAATTTTATTTACATATTAATATTAATATGTATATTCTGTTAAATTATTTTTCATCCTAAAAAAAAAAAAAAATTATATTAATATTAATATGGATAAGTTTAAATTTTCTTCATTCATGTGCTTCTATTGAAATTACTTAATATATACTGTATATAGTTAGAATTTTTTATAAAAAATCCCACTTGCATAACAATTATTATTATGCTGATATATATATACTACAAGAAAACGAATTTTTCCCACGTAATTCCCATTCAAGTAATTGATCACGAATAAAATAAATACTATTATTATTATTATTGCAAAGTAATTTGTCAATATTGATATTATAAAAACAAGGTATAACTTTAAAATTGTTGAAATGTTCCCGGTCATGTATCACGTTATTAATATTAATATAAGTAATGTTCGAGGGGAATTTGGCTCTTTAAGAACAACTGATGAAATAAGAAAAGATTGGGATACACAAGAAAAATATAAAATATATCTATTATATGAACTTTTATATTTAAAACAATTTACTTGCGTCAAGTTTTTTTATTTACGCTACTTGCGTTATTTAGCAGCGAATTTGGCGAAATAGTCTTTGGTAACTTTTCGTCAAACAACATTAATACATAATAATTATCCATCATTCCATTCAATTGTCAGAACTTATTATAATGTTTATTATTGTTTCTATTTTAATAGCATGAATTCTAAAAGTACCTTTTTACAATTACCGACATTTCTTATATGATTCAATTTAATTAAAAATAAACTAATGTCTTGATTTGTAGTTGTTGACACAGCAATAACATTTTAGTCGTCTTTTGAGTTTGGACGGCAAGTATAAACGGGATACTTCAAAAACTTGTTCGTATATTATAAACAAATATACACGATAAACTAATGTTTTTATTATCCACCTATTAAAATTTATCTTTATAGGTCAATTTTTTAAGAGGAATTTATTAAACCAAAGGTTTTTTTTGTAAAATTGACTTTGGTTTAACGAGTTCTGGCTGCATTACCGTTTTTTTTTTAAAAATGGTCTATTGCGCAAAAATCGGATTTTTGGAAAAACAAAATATATCAAGGTCAAAAAGCAAAGAATTTTTTTATATTTATATATATTTATATTAAATTTATTATTACATTGTTATTTGTTAATAGGTTCAAGTTTATATACTACAAAACTGATTGTAAATACATTTCTTTAAAATTTTTTAAAATTTACATAAAATGTACATATTTAAGGGTATTTTATTGTGACTGTGCCTTCTAAACATGCTAAAACAGTTTGATCCTTAGCGACAACTGGATGATAAAATAGTAAATATTATTAATTAGTAAAATCAGTTTCCAAGCAAAATTAAGAAATAAACAAAACAATAATGTTAGATAGGTATAACTTACGAGTCGAATTTACAAAATAATCAATAGTCACCCCCTTGGGTTGAAGTGGGCTTTCTTGCACTTTCCATTCATGTGTTTTGTCAAAGTGACCTGCTGCAACTGGACATTCCGTCTCCTTTAGTGCGGAGGCGAATGTACAATAGTCAGCTGAAAATGACAATAAAAATTTATCCTTCAAGTAGATACTCCAAGTTGCTATGGCTCCATCTTCAATCGGAACAGTGCTATCTCCTACAACATGCTCAGTGACAGTTTTACCAGGTTCCCATATTGCTGGAGTGTAGCTTACTTCAGTAAACGTGATGGGATAGGTGCCTGCACATTGAACAAATTTGCCAGCACCGTCACCAGGAGCTCTTTTAGTGACCTCTCTGATTGGAATTAACATTGAAGTGGTTAATGTAGCATAGAAGACGATCAAGATGAAAAAAATATTGATTTTGTTCATGCTGGTTATAGTTATTGTTTATTTGGATTTTTATTTTTTATTATTATATATTTATTTTTTTGATTTTCTAATTCAACTGAATTTTCTCTTTATTTATAACAAAAAAATTTCACGTTAGATCATTCCCCGTCCAATAAGTTTTATTTTTAACCTTAATCTATTTAATTTAAGTAATTGTTATACTAAAGAGGCAGTTTCTAGAGATTTCTCTTTAGAAAAATGATATTCAATGCATATAATAACAAATTTAATTTATCTATATTTGTATTTTTCATTATATAATAGGTCATGTATTACAATAGAATCATAATAATAATCACATATTTTAATCTCCGTTCTCCGTCACGGATTTAAATGGAGATGAAGCTTTGTGGCTTTGATTTTTAAAGTAATAATTGTATAACTAGAAATTCTCAACAGAATTTTATTTATAAAATGAAGATTTATTTGCTTATAGCTACATTCGGGTCACTACTGATTATTGATGCATTTTTTACTTTATTTAACAATCCCATTATTAATATTAAAAGTTTAGGCTGAAAAAATGATTTTTTATTTCTTGATTGTTTATTTACAGGTTTCGAATAATGAATACCTGATGAAAATGTTTTGTGAATGGGAAATATTTCGTTAATCGTCTTATTTGGCAAATAATAAACTTGAATCATTATGCTTATTTTATAATTTGATCAGTAGAACTTGGATAAATGTTCGGGTACGTGATGAAATTAGAAGCAAATTTACAATAAAATTTTTTTTAAACAATAAAATTTGGAAAGTTATTTTGCCCACATTATCTATTTGATAAAATTCTGATGATTTTGCTAATAGGCTTGTCGCACCTCACATCGTCGCCAATATATAATTAGGTAATTAAATATCATAATACTAACCATTGGCATTTCGTCAGATTTGGCAAAGTATTTTATTTTTCAAGCTACCTCGGATAATCGTGCATTTCGTCATATAACTTTTCGTCAGTTGATCATTTTGTCATGTATCGTTAGTTCCAAAAGAATAGTTTGCAGAATTACGCAGCTCTCCAACTCAGAACAATATATATATATATATGTATGTTAGATGGCGCAATGGATGTTTGTGGTATCTCAAAAAGAAAATTCGCATCAATAAAAGAATCTTTTACTGTTGGAATCACACAATATACCTCTTTGTCAAAAGCATACTGAAATCACTTGACAATGTAAGAACGCCTTAATGAAGGGCTAAGATAGAAATTAACAAAAATGTTACAGGGACTGAGAAGAGTTCTCTTGAAAATCATACTACTAAAGTCCACGGATTATCAGGCCATTTGAAGAAGTAAGGAAATTTATAGTAACCTTTTATTTTTTGAGGTTTTAACGCCAAATTCCAAGATTGGAATTGAAATTTTTCATTGACATAATGATGTATACCACACCATAATTATTCTCGCTAACTTTCAAGCATTTACTTTTAAATCTTCCTTTTCACCCTCGTAATTTTCAAGCATTCGTTACCTCTTCAAATGATTCAATCTCTCCGACTTCTCTCCTTCCATTCTTTATATTTTATTTTTTGTATCATCCAACTCTTTTGATATTTTCAAATAAAATTAATTTATTAATTATATTGAATTTTTTAAGTCTACATGCGTGAAATTCCATTTAGCCAATCAAAATTTTGTATAAAAACGCCCACTTAATTATATTCACACAACAAGGAAACGAAGTATAAACATGTGTTTTAACGTGTATCGGTGCATGGACATTTTTCTAAGATTAAGTTTGTGATATGATTTGTGTGTGTCAATGAAAGACTTTATGATTTTACTATCGGAAAAATTTTACGCGCTATGGTTGTGAGTCAAAATAAAATTTTTGATACAAATTCGTCTGAATTTGAAATTCATATTAATAGGGCTGCTGATTGATATACCTGTATTATTATATCAAGCAAGACTTTCAGTAGATCTTAATACAATGTGGAAATTTTCTAATTCTATAATAGAATTACATATGTTCATGCGTTGTACCAATTGAATATTCCATTCACTTTAATCGGATAATCATTTGGTGAATGATTAAAAAATCATACGATGAATCGATTAAAAAAAAAAAAGAAACTGATTACTCATTGTTTTAAAAATTTAGTTACACGAGATATTGATTATCATTTATTCAGTGAATATTCACTTTTAATTTATTGTATTTGTCAATGAAAAAATCAAAGTATGCGATTAACAAAATAACATTGAATATTATTCATTGAGTGCAACCTCTATCATGCACAAACATTGGTAACAGCTAGCTATACACGTGATCCTATTTAGAAATAGACGGACGGGGTCCAACTTTTATAACAAATTAATTTATTCAAGCTCTGAAAATTATTATTAAATCTATGATAAAATTAATGATGTTAGCCGGCTAAGGAATTTTTAAACGGCTTAGACGACTAGAAAAAATTTCTCTTGACATTCATTTTTACTTCTGGGATTTTAGTTTAGTTGAGATGCATTACTTAGAATGACAAAAAAAACATACATTTGCTCACAAAAAGTAAAATACAATACATCATAGCAGAATAAAAGTCATAGTTTCTATTCGTAATATAAATTCTTATTTTAATCCGAATTATTTGTTTTATTAGATTTATTAGTTTTATTAGTTTTATTAGTTTTATTAGTTTTATTAGTTTTATTCGTTTTATTAGTTTTATTAGTTTTATTAGTTTTATTCGTTTTATTCGTTTATTCGAATAAAACTTTCAATGTGATTCGAATACTCAAATTCATAACGATTAAATAAAGTATTAAAGGCGAGATATTATAATAATGATGATGATGATGACGACAGTGGTAGTAATAATAATACCGGCAAGCTTAGTACCATCTGAAAAGGTTTTTCATCAACTGGGATTTATTAAGTTCTTAGCCGGACCAGGATTTCTAATTTCTATACTTTCTAATTTAATACAATTATTGAAGATTTCCATTAACCCCTGGTTTACTTCATCTGTATCTCTATAGACTATTGATAAACCTCTTAGATTTTTACAACATTGTGCAATTGATTGAAATAGTTTTCCCAAAAGTTCACTATCATTTGGAACAGCACAAAAATTCAAATATTTTAAGTGTTTTTCCATTGATATTAATAAAATCAAACAATTCTGATAATTCTGATAACATTTGACAATACATATCTAACTTCACAGATTCAAGATTCGGCAGTGAAATATTTTTCAAATATTCTATTTTGTTATCAGAAGCATATGATGTTAATGATAAAATCTTCAAATTGTATAGAATTGGTAATAACATATTATCTATATCATGAACTCCACTGCTTGAATAATAAATTATTGATTGTGAATGTGAGAGTATTGCTTTTTTGAAATTATCTAAAAAAACATGATCAGTGCTTAAAAGAATGGTTAATCTCTTTATTTGATTTTGAGCTTTAATTAGTTGAGTCAGACTATCTTGAAATCTATTATTGTTGTATTTATTATAATGTATTTTTAATGATTGAATAGATTTGCAAATATTTGTTAATTTATCAATAAGTGTATCCACAATTTAATTCTGAAATCTATCATCAAATCTATGGTAATTATTTATCAAACTCCAATTTGTATTATAGGTATTAAGTTCTTTAATAACTGCTGAATGATCTAAAATAAAATTTGCTAATCTATCTTTTAAAATATCCAATCCAGAAGTTATCAACTTATCAAAACATAATCACCAAGAAAATAAAATCTAGTACAAAATCTAGCATAATTATATAATTGTGGTTTCTCCAATAAGTCAAATATTAATTCAATGCTGTTTTTGGTTAAGAAATCTTTGTCTTCTTCCAATAAACAATTAATTATTATTTTAGTGCTGTCAAGAGAATAACATGGACTTCTCCATAAAATTGGAATACCAATGTTGTGCCATTGCTTATTGACAAGGACAAGAGAATACAATGTTTCATAATCATCTTCATTGTATTTAAATATTTCACTCAAAAGCTCAAGTGGTAGCATATTTTTTTTGAAAAATTATTTTATTTCCCAACCAATTAAAATCAATATTAATAATAACTAGTGATTGGCAATGGTAATAGCAGGCAACCATGTAATGTTTCATTATTGAATTATTTCTTTTTCAATGGTGTGCTGCTGATATTTATACATGGATACTGTATGATTGACTTGAGACATAAAAGGTAGTCGTAAATGTATTATTATTTTTATTTTTTACATATTAGATAAGTATACACACTAATAAAAAACGTTATTTATGATTGATAAATGTTGGTCTTGTTTCTATTGTCCATGCCTCAAATAAGATAAATAAAAATTTGCATTTTTGCATGATAAAATCAAAATATGATCAATGAAAATCTTTACCAATTATAAGGATGTCCACTATGCTCCATAACATACTAAGTAATGTTCATGTTTCCTTATCTTGGCTTCTTGTTAAAAAAAATAATTCATCACAGTAGTAATATTAGCTATTTTTTGGAAAAATTAGTTGTAATGAATGATTATACATGTCGTCAAAATTAAAAGTCGTGTGACGCAATTAGTTTAGTGTGAGACGCATTGACGCAGACGCAAGAC